TTAACCTCTATAATGTGCTATGTAACTTAAACTTTATTTCAATATTGACTCTTAGATGAACAAGTAAAATGTACCTTAACCAATTTGAAGACGAAGTAACGATTTGCTGCAGTGAGTTATTTTTAACTAGTGCTAAGTTCGATACGCCCACACTTTGTTTTACAATTTAAAACTAGCATGTATTCTTTTTTTGGGGGTACTTTGTTTTCTGTTAGATACATCAGTCGTACTTGAATGAAACTTGAACTTAGAAAGAACAAATGCCTTAAGTTACTCAACGACAATTAATTAAAGTGTAAGTAATGAAGCCAACGCAAACAGCCGCAAACATGTTGGCAAAAGTAGGTTCAGCTGCAGGGTGAGCACACCAAAATCGTTGTCCTTTTATCGATTAAATGAACATTACAACCGCAAATTTAGAAGGTAGAAAGATATAAAAAAATTGTCTTTCCGTTGAAATGCTTTTCAGCAATAGCAGAAAGGATGAACCTAGATGAATAACAACAAACTGAGTAAGATTAAATTAGTCTGTGACAGTCCTCTTTCCAAATTGGGCTAAATAAACTTAAACTTGCCTCAAAAAAGGATAGCTCAGAATCTCATGAAGATAACAAATGGCAGGAGAATCATCTTTTAAGGACAACTAGGGATAGTAACGATATATCGATATATTTCTACTTATATGGAGTAGATTTTTTATCTTTATATTTGACTGTAAAATCTTGAAATATATCGATATATCCGTTGAAATTTATCAATATATTCATTTTTTATTTACGAAAAAAAATAATTTACAAACCCTACATCACCCGACCGCATCTCACGATATCTGAATAACTATCTATTAACGGTCACTAATCTGTACACAAATTTACAAAAACTTGACTATACATTTTTCTGATTTATTATTGAATATATAATTAAAAATATCCCTGTCAGTGCGTCAAATTGGATTAGAGAATGCCGTCTGGTATGAGACATCCATATGTCACGGCCCGGTTGCCGAAAGCATAAGGTTCCCAACAAAGCTGGGGGGAGTTGGGGAAACAACATGAAGATGCGCGGGACGAATGCCCTTCAGGTGTATCGGGGACTCTGAGCGGAAGAAGACTGCAGTTACATTCGTAATTATGCAGTACATTCCAAATTGTATGTCCCAATTTTCCATGAATAATCATTGATTAATATAATTAAATTTTTAGGAATATATTCTTTTTAATTGCTATTTTGCTGTTGGTAATTTTGAAAGTAAATCGTTGTAGTTTATTTATCATTTTATTATTTCATTATTTTTATTAGCCCTATGATCCTAATTTTCAATTCTAATTATCCACAATAGTGGGACTCCTTCGGAAGGGTAAGCGGGAGAGCTCACTCTAATTAGTCGGGGTCTCTCCGAAAGTTAAGCGGAGGGCTCACACTTGGTAACAGAGCAAAAAAACCCACCCTATATACCCCTCCCCCCTGTGCTAAGAGCAAATAAAATAAATATAAAACGAAAAATAAAAAATACAAATTCAAACGTTTAATGTGAAGGTGTTTAATAGTCGGAAATACGGAAGCGGAAACATTTTTCAAGAGTTCAAACTAAAAAGTGAAAGACATACATTCATGCCAAATTCAGCGAACAAAACTAGGAATAATTTTAAAATAAATAACCCAAATTGGAATAAGCATTTTCGCCCTTACCAGAAAACACGAACCCATAAATATTTACTTCCTACGACGAAGTCGCAAAATCATAACTATCAAACCGATGAACAGGAACAATTTAGTAAAAATACCGGTACCAATAGGAAACAAAAAGCTAGAGTCAAAAGAAAATCAACAATCTTACCTAAAATAAAAAACTAGACACCTGGGTTTATAGTACGACGTCCGAAATGCAAAACGAGTACGAATTTGTCAGTAATATCCAATCTTCTATAAATAATATACCTTGTCACGCACTTTTAGATACAGGAGCCGCACTATGCTGTATTCAAGAGAAATATTTTAACATAATAAACCTAAATCGAAAAGTTAAGACTAAACCGTTTAACACCACAGTAGTGGTAGGAATAATAATAAACAAATGTGCAATTATGAAAATTAAAATCAATAAATTTACTTGGACTGAGCGATTTCTAATTGTTCCAAATTTGCCGTGTAAAATAATATTAGGTCTTAACTTTTTAGGAAAATCGAAAATGACTATAAACCCAGCCAATAAATACATACAATTTCAATTTGCCAACGATACAAAAATACATCTGGTAAACGACAAAACATGTGACTTGGCAGTAGTAAGTCCACACGAAATCTCAGTGAAACTTATTACAGGGATGTGCAGACAAACAATATTAGTGTGCACAGACGCGATTACGTACTAATAACCCTCAAGGAGGTGCTATTCTGGACTCGAGGAAAACAAGGACTTGCAATCGCTCAGTTTAATTTTTTTTTCCTTTTAAACTGAGAAGGCTGATCAATCACCAAAGAAAATATTAATCAACAGCGGGGTGCTTCATCGGTGTTATATAGTCCTGATGAAGGCGATATATTCTGCCGAAAGCTCGACAAGAAAATAAATGTTGTTTCTGTCTTCCTGGCCTCATCCCCGATCTACCTTTTGGTAGGAAAAAGGAAAAAAAAATTTAAACTGAGAATGCTGATCAATCACCAAAGAAAACAAACTCCTACGGTGGAAGAGGCATTGATACATTTACGTTCAGGGAGAATATTTTCGGTCTTCGACTTGAAAAAGCCTTATCACCAGATACCGTTAGCGGAAACCACCAAAAAATTGACCGCTTTCCAGGTCCCATGGGGGACTTATGCATATAAGCGCATTCCATTTAGACTAGCTACTGGGGGACAAATTCTGACAAAATTAATGGAGAGATTATTCGGCGATCTTCTGTTTAAATATATTTTTTTCTATTTTGACGACTTAGTTGTGTATTCGGAGGATTATGAAAGCCATCTGAAACACTTAACAATTGTATTCGATAGACTACTGAAGGCAAAACTTACGGTGAATGTGGACAAAATGCAATTAGCCCAAACAAGTATTCAATTTTTGGGGCAAGTTGTCCAACATAACCAAGTCTGGGCTAGCCAAGATCGCATCAGTGCAATTCTGACACTTCCCAAACCACAAATCCCAAAGCAAGTCGCCCAATTTATGGGCGCCATTTATTTTTTTAGCCGGTTTATTCCGGACCTAGCCAAGATCGCAAACCTCCTTAATGCATTAAGAAAGCAGGACGGAAACATGGTATGGACGGACGAATGCGAAGAATCCTGGAAAACGCTAAAAGAAAAAATAACGACATCTCCAGTTTTATAAACGCCCAATTTTTCGTAGCGCTTTGCCATGTTCACGGACGGAAATGTTGTTGGGGTCTCAGCATGTCTAGGCGCAGGAGGTCGAAGGGGCATTCAAGCCAGTAGCATTCGCCTCCCGCAAGCTAAAGGGATCCGAAATGAATTACTCTGCCTATAATCTAGAGGCATTAGCTTGTCACGAGGCGCTAGGGGTCGCCTACGGACATGTTTAAGTGGGACAAATGCCCCTTCCATCACAGAAGGTAGGTCAATTAAATTTCGGGCTAATAAGACTCGGCTCCTGATCTCTGCAGCGGACTAATCCTAGCTTCTCTAACAGGTTAAACCGTAATGCTTTTTGTCCCCACCGATTAAGCTCCTCCGTTCGCTCAATTATCAATTTTCAATTATTAATTATTAATTGCCACAAGAAAGTTTGAGGCCTGTTTATTTTAGATTGTATAAATTTTACGATTAAGATAATAAATTTATTTTTGGTCAAGAAGGTTTTCATTTTACTTTAGCCTTTTATTTTACTTTTCTCTATTTTAATTCCCCCACGCTTCCATCACAGCGCACTGTGCTGATTTCGCTGTACGTGGGCTTTGGAAACTGCGAGCCATTTCCCGGACTTAAGGTAAGTTTATGCAACCGAAGTCCGTCGCAGGATAGAGCAAAGCTGACACCTGGTAGCAGAGCGTGGTTCACGGCAAAGCTGACACCTAGTAGCTTGAACGTGGAAAGATCCCCCGCCACAGAAAAGAGAAAAGTAAGCCGAGTGCTTATTAGCCGGAAATTTAATTGACCTACCTTCTGTGATGGAAGGGGGCATTTGTCCCACCTAAACGTGTCCGTAGGCGACCACTTGCGCGTCGTGACAAGCAATAGCGTTTGGTTTGGAGAAATACAGAATATATCTAGAGAACGATGCGTTCGATCTCTTTACTGACCACAAAGCTTTGAAGTAGTATAAGGGATACCACCAGCACCCCCACCACTTTCCTTCTTATGGTGTCCCACGGTGTTTTTCCGCCTAAATTTAAAAACATGGGATCTGATTGGTCCTGTTTTACCGTCATCCCCCCTCCACCACTTTCCTTCTCAAGGTGTCCCATGGTGTTTTTCCGCCTAAATTTAAAAACATGGGATCTGATTGGTCCTGTTTTACCGCCGGCATTTAAATGATCGGGTCTGTTGGTGTCCCCATGGAAGTCCCCCCACCAATCCCCCGCTTGCCACGATAATTCGAACTGGGTAATCTCAAGGTGACTCGTACCGCTCGTCTGCTTTTTAAAAATAAACAAATTCGGGGCATTTACGAATATCAACAAATATTGTGAGGATTAAGTGATTTACGAAGTTATTATTTATTCAATAGTAGAAAGCAGGAAGGATCACCGTATGAAAGAAGAGAAATTTTCAAGTAGGTAATTAAATATTTTATGCATGTTTATTAATGATAAAAACGGTGAATTACTTACACAAATCCTGAAATTAATTAAATGTATTTGCAATATAATTTAGAATGGATCTTTCTTCAATTCCTTGCACGTCGGCTCATGTTCGAATCCTCACATCAATGTTGGAGTATCTTCTTTCTAACAACCAAGTACTATTTTAATAAATGTTTACGCAAATTACAATAGCTTTAATAGATAGGTTAATGTTAATACAATTCGAATTTCAGTAGTTAGTATTTGTTCGAAATCTGACGGATTTGGATAATTTTAACGTTGTTGTGCAATTTGTGGAAACCAATATGGATTCTGTTAGTCAGCGAATTGCGGAATGTGATGTGAGTACTTTTGATTTAATTGATTAATATAATAGTTTATATTATTTTTCTCTATCTTATATTATTGAGTAAAATGTTGGTTCTGCAGATTTTAATTTACGTTTTGAAATGTTAATTTGTTATTCTGTTTTGTGGGCTGAAGTATATTTTAAACTTATTACTAAATTTACGATATCTTAAAGGTGTATACGTTGGAAAATCCGGTTCAAATTGAAGAGGAAGAAAAATCCAATAGATCGGATGAGAAAGAGAAAAAACATCAAAAAAAGAAGTAAAAATATTAAACCTTTTTACAATTTTGAACAATAATTACTTACTTCCTACATAACATTGTAATTATTTCGATTATACGGTGCGTTACATTTTATTTTTAGGAAAGCGACGGAAAAAAGGAAATTTGTGCAGCCAATTCGCAGAACTTGTGGGATGATACTGTCAATCTTACAGTAATTTCTTATAGATTACTTCAATAATCATGTAGTAATTTTAAAATTATTTTAGGATTTCGAAGAAGCAATGCAACATGCGGAAAAATTAAGAGAAATAATTGAAAAGAAAAAAGTGATAGAGTCTAAACATAATGAAAAAGGGAAAGGGAAAGGAAATGTTCACATACAGAAGGAAAAAATAAAACAGACCAATGGATAAAACGTGTCGAAAAAGTATACAATTTTTACGATAATGGAAATAGCAATAGATCTTGTAGTTAATTATTTTTCAGAAAATTAAAAAAAACAAGGCGGAAGCTATTAACCGGCTTATCAAGACACGGCTAAATAAATTGAAATGTAATGAACATGCAAGTTCTTGTCCCAATTTTGTTAACTGGCTTCGGCATTTATTTAAAGAATAAAGGTTACAAAGTTTTATTAATTTTAGTTCATTAAAGATTATAATTTTTAGTTATATTGAAATTATGTATTTGATTTTAAAACAATAATAATAATATGATTTAAAAAAATTATAATTCATTTCTTTATACCTCTTTTTGACATCGGTTACTCCCTCCCTCTCTCTCTTTCTATTATATATATAT